TTTCAGCTCAGTGTATATCTGTGGATGTCTATCTCTGCTTCCATCAGCCACTGGGTGGGGGCTCTAGGATGGCATAAAGAGAAGTCACCAATCTCATTTTAGGGGAAGGGCTTTTAGGTTATCCTCTCCACCATTGCCTGGATTGTCAGATCGTGTCATCCTTGTAGGTCTCTGGAGATCTCCCTGGTTCCAGATCTCTTCTCGGACCTATAGTGGCTCCCTCTGATATGGTATCTCTCATCCTGCTCTCTTTCCTCTATTCTTCCCCCAACTCAGTGTTTCTGCCCCTCCATTTCCTCTCCTCTACTCCTCTTCTCTTGCTCTTATTGTAGCAGCTCCTTCCCCCCCCCACCCTCATGCCCCCAATTAGTTCAGGAGTTCATGCCACTTCCATTCCTGGGGACCCTTAGAGTCCTTCATGTTTCCTAGTTTCTTTGGTGAAGAGCATTATAGGCTGGTAATCCTTTGAGGGCCTCTTGTTTTATTCAGTGTGACTGTCACAAATTATGGACTAGGTTTTGCACCTGGCTTTTTCTGGAGCATGGGTTAAAATTAGGTAGCAATTTTTTTTTTTTTAAGATGGTGACTATGAGCATCACATGGACGAAAACAATGTAAGGAAGAAAGGATTTGTTTTGACTCACAGTTTAAGGATCCAGTTCATGACGAGGAAGGCATGGCTGTAGGGGCAGATCAGTTAGAAAAAGAGATAAATACGTGTGCTCTGGTGGCTTTTTACTTTTCCCCTTTTTATTAAGTCTGGGAGGGTAGCCAGTGGGATGGTGTCATCCATTCAGATTGAGTCTTCTTTCCTCCGGTCAACTTCTCTGGAAATGCCTAGAGATATACTTACCAGGTGAGACCAAAGCCAGGAAAGGTGGCAATGCAGAGTATCCACCATAGTAGCCAACTTTGCCACCGAACAGACAGACGGTAAATGAAGCCAACATGATAGAAAATGCTGATCGGTAAGGGAAGGAGGAGGATGGTGAGAATGAGGGACAGAGGGAAAGAAGGAAGGAAGAGAAGGAGAGCAGGAGAGAGAGAGAGAGAGAGAGAGAGAGAGAGAGAGAGAGAGAGAGAGAGAGGGAAAGAAAGACGCTTGGGCTCAGTTTCTGTGAGGTTCTCAAACTCTGTTTCTAGTATCATGTTTTGTTTGCTGGAACCCATTGATCCCTCAGGGTCCTTCCTGTGCAGGGCCATCGAGTGTCCTTCTTACATCCTCTGCCATCTTACAGCCTTCACACCCTGGCAAATCCTCTTCTACCCCTTCCTTCAGGAGACAACAACCTGAACCACTACCTAAGGAGTGCTTTATGACTTGGTATGCCCCGTTCTAATTATTTATAATATATTTAATCTCCTTAAATGCTAGCACAAAATAATGGAAAGTTACTCTTCCTTGTTTTAGTTTTGGCCTCAGAGAGTTCCAGCTGAGGCCAAATGTACTACATTGCCAAGTACAGCTTGAAGTCCCGATCCTCCAGCCTGCACCTCCCAAGTATGGGATGACAGGCTTGTGTCACCAGGCCAGACACAGAGTAATTCTTATTATCCCAGTTGTGGGAAGTTGTGGCACAGTTTGTTGCTTTCACTATTCTCCCTTTAATCTAGTTGTTGGGTTTTTTGTTTTGTTTTGTTTTTTTAAGTTCTGTTCTCATTTTTCAGATCTTTTGAATTCTGAAACTTTTTCCTCCTTAGAGGGAAAAATGTCTCAAAATGAAGAGGAAGCGTTTGTTGATTGCATTCATTGTTGCTGAAAGTAGCTTCAGGAGCTTGCCTTACCTGTTTCCATATCTTTGAATGCCAGTGGCTCATTTGGGAGCTCGGTGACATATGACTCTGGATGTGTAGGGAAAAGACCACTAGGATAGAAAGAATGAGTTTTCATTACTATAGTGAAAAATGGTTTTAAAGATAGAATCGTGCTTGTGAGCTAAAAGAATATGCAGTGTCCAGAAAGGACTTGGTACAGCAGACCCTGGGAGCTACTAGGAACCCAGCTCCAAGCACCTCAGATGCTCTCTTTGACTGATGTATTCGACTTCCTTCTCCCACTGTTGCCTTCCTTCCAACCTGGAGGAAACGTGGCCTCTGGCAGTTCCTAAGGGTTATAAATCATAGCTTTTGCTACAAGCAAGAGGCTGGTTTGTTTTTACACCTCCTTCTACTTTGAAATAAAGTAACCAAGTGTTGTTTTGGCTGGCCTTAGAGCTGTGTCGTCCCTGATCCAATCACCTGTGCTCTGTCCTGGGTCTCATGGGTAGTAGTGCTAGAGTCTCCTGTTTCATGACTACAACAGAGAGAGCATCATTTTAGAAGAGTAGATGCTGCTCCCCTGGGTGGGAGGAGGTAGGGGAGTATTGGGCTGACCAATATATCTGAACTAGGAGAATTACCTATTTTCTGAATGGAGAAAGAGGTAGGTTAATACAAGGCAGAACCAGTTCCCCGGGGAATAATACTGGTCAAGTAAGATCACGTGATTTGAGTGCTTGGTGGGAGAAGTGGGAATAAAAAAGGGTGGGTTATCTCTCTGAATGACATAATTCATTTAATTTAGTCCAGACTAGTGGCACAATTTTTTTTAAATATTTGCAATACAAAGGGGAAAGCCACCTTTAAATTTGACTTTACTCAAGTATACAGGTAGAAATCTTTTTAAAGATATTGTATTAATTCTTTGGTAATGTCATCAATCATTGTATTTTGATCAGCTTAACTGCCAACTCCTTCCCCTCACCTCCTCCCAGATCCACCCCACTCCAAACCCCAATAACCCATTGACGCCAATATGTGCTGTCCATATATTCCTATGTGGGGGACCATCTTGTGGAGTATGGTGAACTACCCTTAAAGAAAACAGACTGCCCCTCCCCGAGAAGACATCAGCTATCCATAGCTCCTCAGTTAAAAGGTAGAAGCTCAATGACAATCTTACAGAAAATCCACAGGCAGGGGACACGTGTAGGTACCTGGGAGCTTGTGATAGGGGAATTTGTCTCTGATATTCAATCTCTGGCCCCTGGGATCAGTAGTGGAACCAGTCATTCACATGTTGGCAACTGCTTGAGATTTCTGCTGAACAGATGTTTTAGCTGTTAGAGTCATTGTATCAGCTTTCCTCTTCCTTTACTCCTTCCCAACCTGATTTTCTTTTTCTTTTTTTCTTTTCTTTTCTTTGTATTTATTTATTTATTTATTTATTTATTTTTGACAGAGTCTCACACAGCCCAGGCTGGTCTCACACTCATTATATATCCAAGACTGGTCTTGAAATCCTGATCCTCCTGCTTAGGTTATATGCATGTACCACCAGGCTATCCTATCCTGATTCAAAATGAACTAAACAATTCTTAGATCATCAAAATGAAAATTCTCTTTAATGAGCTTCAGGAGGCCGACCTCACTGGACTACAGTCATAGGCTGTAAACTTCTCTCGAGTAAAGCCAACAAAACGCCAGCAGGAATGAAAGGGATGTGAGGTCTGGGGATTTGCCTCCCTGGCTCATGCCATGGCTTCATCTCAGACTGGTTACCTCTCTCAGCCAAGGGACATAGCACTCTTAAGGGAGCCATCTCCATCAGCCCTGCTGGCATCTAATCTGAGCTCTCTTCTGGATTGCTCAGGCCTGGGGGTGGCATGCTTCTGCTGGTGGAAGGGAAGAGCCCTATCTCTTGTGACTTCAGACATCCCAGAAGGGGACTTTAATTAATTCCTCTTGGAATTGTCCTAAACCTAGTGAACCTTTTGTCCCTTAGCCCCTACCTGACATAGGCATTATGAATAAACACTAATAGATAATATTAGCTACTAAAGGAGAATTGGATAGCATTCTTGACTCAGACTCTTCCTCTTTATTAATTTAACAAAACCCAGGCCCCACATACCAAGCCGTGCCACCGTGTGTATGCCATGTAGTTACCCAGGCAGATGACAGAAGGATAATGCAGCTAATTCCAGGGATACCAGGGTGAAGCCCACTTATCTGAAGCTTTTATCTGAATAAGGATGAAATGTGGTTGAGAATATAAATTGTAAAGCCAGATGAATCTGGGCATCTATTCCTACTTCTGTTACTGTGTGATTCCGGGCTTCTACCTCTATTTTCCCATCTGTGGGACAGATATAACTGTGAGAGTCCCCTCAAAGATCTACTCAAAGATACCATGAGGTAAATACATTCTTGTCACAGTCCCTAACACATAGAATATGGTTAGCAAAAAGTAACTATTATTTGGGCAATGATTATTATCTGTGTTTAAGTTCACTGAAACCAGAAATTACACCTAAGCATTTTGACTCTCAGGGGGATAAACCCTGTCTCGCTTATATTTCTGTTAAATTTTTGAAGTTTATTGCTTTTATTACATTGATTCCGGTGTACACATTTATGCACACAAGCATGGAAGCGTGTGCCCAGCACTCATATGGAGGCAGAGAAAATTTGGAAGTTAGTTCTTTCTTTCGACCTTGGGGGCGGGGAGGTCTCAGGGATGAAACTCAACTCATCGGACTTGGCAGCAAGCGCCAGTACCTTCTAAGCCCTCTCACTGGCCCCGATCTTGCTTCTGTGTCACTGGAGAGAGTTGCAGGTATGCCTTACCTGTTTTCCAGTGCATTGGGATCCAGGGACCCATGTGTCCGGAATACTTGAGAGGTGTTTTGTACCTCTAGTGAGATACAAGGGGGAAGAGCACCTGGAAAATACATTCGAGGCAGAATTGAAACTTGAGTAGACATTTCTTAACTGAGCAGATGGGGAATGGTGCTCCACGTGAAAGCGTGGACAAGGCTAAAGACACATAAGCATCTTTACATGACAGACGGAGCCCAGAAGACTGGAGCAGCATGCACGCGGGGAGCTATGATGGCTGGAACGAGGCCACAGGACCGGTAGACGCACAACTACAGACCCCATAAGAAAAATGCCTTTTTTAAGATCTGGACATTTCCAAACAAGTTCTCTGGCTGCAGTATGATGAACCAGAACGGCGTGGGGGCAGGGGTGTAAACACTGAGGAGCAGCCACCAGCACTGATGAGGAAAAACTCGTGGTGCGAACCTCAGCAGAACTCACGGACTCCTTAGGCAGCCTGGGAAATTCAGAGCTTATTATCCCCCTCGTTCTCTCAGAAAAGCCTGGTATACATTCGGGCTTCTATCTTCCTTAGCTGGAGTTCACCCGGGTTACTAAGGGGCTTCATGTTTCAGTATTCTTTTTATGAATCTACAAGGTAGGTGGATGTGGTTAGAAATGACTTCTAAAGAAATTCCATGTGTATTTCCAGGTCCCACTAAATATTTTCCGGTGGCCACTGTCAATCGTATTTTGAAAGATGTACTAACCGCCTATCTACAAGAAGCAAAATATGACCCGGAGTTCTGCAAGCAGATGACTAAAACAATTTCTGAGGTACAGTACAGTTTGCCCAGTGTCAGCTATAGCCACAGTATCTGCTGAAAGACAGCCCACTTTCTTCTTTGTGATGAAGGCATTAATTTTTGAGGTCAGTTAAATAGTATATACATGTTTTATGAGAATACGTATTAGATCATATACTACATATGTGTATAGGTACATGTGTAGATGGGTTTTTGTCTAAAACCACCCTTATTATGTAATTTGTAACAAATGTATTGCTTTACAAAACTTCCATTCCTTTAAAAAAGATTTATATTTTAATCTGTTTATTTATTTGCTTGTGTGTACACAGGCATGCATGTGTGTGCATGTGACGTGTGCAAAGGCTGGGGGAAGTGGGAAGAGGGCCTCAGATCTCTAGGTTGAAGTTACAAGCCATTATGAGCAGCCTGCTGCCTGATGTGAGTGCTGGGGGCAGAAACTGCTCTTTACTGCTGAGCCATCTCTCCAGTTCCATGCCCCTTTAAAGAAAAAACCCTTCTTGTATGTTTGTATAATGCGTATGTGTGGTATATGTGCATGTTTGTGTGTGTGACTTTAGGAATGGACATGCCACTGCACATTTAGAGGCCAGAGGAAACCCTTGGGTGTTAGTCTTCACTGTCCACCTTGTTTGAGAAAGCATCGCTTTGTTCTTCACCATAGCATAAGCCAAGTTAGCTGGGATGGGCCTGTCTCTGCCCCCCCCCCCATCTCCCTGTAGGTATGCTGTAATCATAAATGCCCACTATCATACCTGAATTTTATTTGGGTCTTGGAGACTTGAACTCAGGTCTTTACACTTGTACAACTGCTTTACAATGAGCCATCACCTCAACCAAAAACTGTTTCACTTTTAGAACTTATTTTTGGAAAATACACATTTTAACGACTGTTTTCTCCTTGCCACAGCGACTTCTTTGAGTGCTATCAGTTATCCATATCATGGCCTTTAAATACATTTCTATTTTTTTCAACTACAGTGAATTTTTATGATAGTTTCTTCTGCTCCGGTTTTTATAACAAACTCTGGGATAAATATTCAATTCTGTTATGCTGCAGGAGATTTCAGAATATGTTTCCCTCATTAGATATGAAAACACAAAATAACCCTGGCTGCAACATTCTTTAAAGGGTGGCTGTCTTTAATATAGATTTTATAGGGTACAATAGTCCCCCTCAATTCTGTTCTGCAGATGACTAGTTTTCTGTATATATTAGAACGTATCAGCTTATTGCTAGTGCTGTTATTTTGTTCCTGGATTCCTGTCCCCATGAGGACAATACTTGAAAGATGGTTTACTTATGGTTTCGTGCAATGCTGGAAGTATCAAGAATGCACCATACTGTTTTCTTTTTCAAAATTCTTAAAAATATTTCGAAGTTAGTCTACAATGTGATGAGCTTCACTATAAATTTTGTTATATGTAAAACATTTTTCATTACACTCCCTCTCCCATTGTGCTCCCCACCTTCCCTGCCTTCCTCCTCTTGGTCCCCTCCATCTTTCCCAAACTATCCTTTCATGTTCAACAATTTTGAGATTTAATGTGACTAAAAATCAACCCCCTTTTTTTTCTTGTACAATTTCTAGGTTATTAAAGCCCAGGTCAAAGAATTAATGATTCCCCGGTATAAACTAATTGTGATTGTTTACATCGGACAACGAGATTGTCAGAGCATACTGATTGCCAGCAGATGCCTCTGGGATCCTAAAAGTGATACCGTTTCATCCTATACATTCACAAATTCTACTCTCTTTGCTGTTGCAAATGTCTATGGGGTCTACTTCGAATGACTGAAAATGAGAAGTTACAGTCTTGGCATTTTAAAATCACGAAACGGGCTGTGTCTCTCTGTCCACTAAGGTTCTACTGGAAAAACCCATGAGAAACAAGATGAACAACTGGAACTTTCCATCACTCTTGTGAGGACTGGTGGAGGGGAGGGGAGCCCAAGACAGAACCTTGTTTCTCCAAAACAAATGTCGAGTGTGGTTCACATAAACATGGATGCTTACTAAATATTACTTTGGGTATTAAATATTTTGATTTCTCTTTTAATCGGAGAGATTCCCTGGACTGATTTTTGATAAAGTTCGAGAAATATTTGGTAACATATTCTGGACATATACCATATAGGACAGGATAATTCAACATGGCACACCAAAATGATGAATGTTAATACACTTCAGTACTGCATATAAAATAATACTGGTTTTCATTTTACATTTAATAAATTGAGCAGCATTTATTAACTGCAATTACTGTTACATGTACTTGACAGCTGAAAGTGCTGAGGTAGAATTAATGATTTCATAATAATTACCATAGTCCCATGGGGCCACAAACTAAATCTAGACACTCCTGTGGGTTGCTTGCACTTTGCAAAATTACAGGAGAACTGAACATTGGCTCTTCAATAATGGAAACTATAAAGTGAATACAGGCTTTTAAGCACACTAAAGTAGACATTATGCTATTAAATATACATGATGCTTAATAGTAAATGTGTCTGTAGCACCTAAGATCATGCATTGGAAAGAGACACTACCTTTAAGTACACACTGCCCATGTGACTTTGAGTAGCTTTTGCCAGCCTAAGTTTTACCCAGAATTCGAAGCTGGCAGCTTAACAAATAAAACGTTTGCCATTTTGTTCCTATGAATTTAGCACTAAAGTGATCCAGTGAGGTTTCTGAATGTATGGGCATTGAAGTTTACAGGGCTGAGATAGCTCTTCTGCAGACTAATGCCTCTTGTAGCATGGATCGTTTATTTTTATGGAGCTTTCAAGTCTTTGTGTGCATGTAAAATGACGCTGTGGTATTGCTGTAGGATGGTAAGTCATCTGCCTAGAGGACATTTGTTAAAGGTCAAACACAAATTGCTCACATATGGAGAGAATTAGCAGTGTTACACTCTTAAGGGGGGAAATTAGGTATAATTCGTATCAGAAAGATTTTAGCGAATGGAAAACCCAGTCAATGCTTCATGATTTGAAAATGTTTTGATGTCTTACTTTTCCCTAAAACCAAATGTAGTTTTAAAACGCATTCCTAGGTTTTTTCTGATAATGCTTTAGGGGGGCTATGTAGAATAATGACCCCCAGGACTTGCCTGTCTGCAAACACTAGTCCAGAATCTGGATTTGATTATCAGAAGAAGAAGGGAGTGTCACAGTATGCTTTTGTCAACTGTTTCTTTCTCAGACGAAGGCCGTGAAATCACACAGCAGCTTGGTACGAATGAGTCAGATGAAGAAATAGCTTTGCCATATAGAAAGTCTGTGGCCGAGATAATTTCCTTTTAGGGTTCTAATTTCTAGTCAATAGAATAATTTCTCATCTCTCACCATCCATTCCAAGTTGTGTTGGCAACTAAAACCTTAAAATACAAAGGCTGTTAAAATAAAGCAATGGAAAGGTAGTTTGTAGGCCTATTGCCGTGTGCTGTAATCAACATCAATTCAGTGATGACCTCTAGCTTTCACACCTGCATAGAAATACAGGGTAAGGAGTCACTCAAAATAATCATTTTCAGGAAAGCATCAGTCAACACACAAAGCCTTGAGACGGGAAATTTTCAAAGAAACATTACCATAAGTTTGAAGTAGTCATTTTATTTTGCAACAGCCGAGCCTCCCCTTCCTGTGTCAGCCTTCCTCCTCCCCCCGCTGCAGAACACGCTGTCTGCTGTCTTCTTTTTGGCAAGTCCCACCTTCCCCTCAGGTCCTTCTCTATCAATCTCCCCCCTCCCACTCCCCTCCTCCAATCCCTCTCAGTTAATCTTTCCACTATTCTCCACCTTTTATGTTTTTTTTTTCCTCCCCTTACCTACTTGAAGATACTGAGTGCACAGACCACCTCACAAGGAAATCTAATTCTTACAAGCAAGTCTCTTGTGCACTGTGTTATACCTAACTCCCACTGTCCAGAAAATAGCAATACACATCTCAACCCTTGAAGACTAGTGTCCTATCGAAATGACATCAGGGCACATCTGTAACCCCAGAACTCCAGAAGTGGTGACAGGTAGATTACCATGTGATTGCAACACAGATTAGAACTTGTTTCCAGAACATCTTTATCCAATGAAGGAACTTGTGGAAGGCTTCGTGAACGAAAACAACTACGTCCTCCAGACTGTGATGGAAATGAGAACTTCAAAGACTAGAGAAAGAAATTTACAAGGGATAAAAGGACATACAAAGATTGAAGGGTGCCTAGTAGCTATCTGGTAAAGAAGCGCACTCAGGAGCCATTAGCAGTTTTTCTCTAAGTGAATGCTTTCTCTAAGCATTAAGTGAAGTGACTCTAAGAAACTATGCCATATGGGACATTGCAGAAACAAGGTATACATGATTAGGCAAAAGGAGGTTAAAGCAATGAAGTTTCGAGTCCTGGGTTCCTGGATGACTCAGGTCTGAGCCCTGTCGTCTCAGGCACCTTAAAAACATTACTGGTTTTACAAAGCAGCAGCGTTGCCTTGATGTGGTAATGATAATGCTGGTGCCATAGCACAGCATTTTGTAGGATTAACTGCATGCTTGCTGAACCATTCACAGCTAGATGTCTAAGAGAAGTGCTTGTGGTTGCAGCCTAAAGTCTGAGCGCCTGGAGCAAAATGCATGGTCTTATCCGAAGGAATGAGACATCAGTGGAAAGAGTTTGAGAAATAAAACACTGAGTTTGAGTCTGCACCCTAGGTCAAGTTGATCATGGGACATTTGGGCCACAGGCAGTTGAAAGCTGAGCCATAACATCAAGGGAAGAAATTTAGACTTGGCAGCTATCCAAAATGAGACCTCACTTTTCTCTTCTGCCTTATAAAATATACATCAGCCAGCAAATATAATCTGTGCTAAACAGTCAATAACCGGCTCTAGGAACCCAGCCAGAAACCACCTCCCCAAACCAATGGGGCTCTATCGATTATACTACCTTTTTCTTTTTTCTATTTTCTTCATTAAAACAGTTTCCTATATTGTGCCTTTCTGTTGTCAGACTTGAGAAATGTAAAGTTTCTTTCAAAAATAAGAGCTAGCACCACAGTGCATGTTGTCAACTGAAGTCATTGATAATTGGGTGACTTCAGAAACCACATAGTAGGAAGTCGGAGTGCAACAGATGGTGGGTTCAGAATTGAAACATTAAATGAAAAAGTTTCATTTTCACTAAAAATTAATTCATTTTTAAGTGTAGAGAATTAGTGTATGGAAGTGATTTTTTAATGTCAACAAATAAGATATTTATAACTTAATAACCTTAAAGAATGAGCATCTTCCTTCTTGGAAGCATCGTCTGACCTGTCTTTCTGGGTGCTATAAAAAAAATAGACAAGAAAACACTCAATGTCAAACAGTTATTTAGTTTTCTTCCCTAGTCTCTCTAAGGCTCTCACAGTCAGCAATCTGGTTCTCACCTACCAATATGGGGCTTTCATGAGCTCTGAAAGTACTCTCTCAAGTCAAATGTGCAGACCATGCCACCTGCATGGCATCTCAAGGAAGGGGCGGTGCTCTTCTCTGTCTCTGTTTCTGTCTCTGTCTCTGTCTCTCTCTCTCTCTCTCTCTCTCACACACACACACACACACACACACACACACACAAACAAACACACACATCCCATAGGCTTGAAGACAAACCTCTTCTATGGCTTCTAACCCTCAACAGTTATGTGAGAGTGTCAAGCACCTAACACCTTCAGCCTGTTTCCTGAAAAGTAAACTGTGCAGTAATTGTGTTCTCATGAAGACTGAACAGACAGTGTATATAAATAGCAAACCCAGGGCTGAAGAGATAGTTCAGTGGTTAAGAACACTACAGATGACCTGAGTTTTATCCCCAACACCCCCATGGCAGGTAACAGTTGTCTATAACCACAGTTCCCAGAGATCCAGCGCCCGTGGTGCACAAGCAAAACACCAATACACATAAAACACTTTTTTTTAATTTTTGGAAAAAAAAAAAAAAACAGAGTTGAGCCAAGCGGGAATGATAGGACACACCTGTAATCCCAACATTTGGGAGGTAGAGGCAGAAGATTGGGAGTTCAAGAACAGTCTCAGCTATACCAGAATAGGAAAGTCAGCCTGAGCCAGGTGAGACCCTGTCTCAAATAGTAGTAGGAGTAGTAATATAGTAATAATAATAGTAACAATTAAACAAATAAACAAAAGATTACCTTATTAAAGAAATTTCCTCTCAACCTCTAATTTTCACAATATGTATTTGTTAAAGCAGATCCGGGTTGCTGCAACAAGTCTCTAATCCCAGTACTCTAAGGGCTGAGGCTGGAGAATCTGGAGTACCAGGCTAGCTTTAGCTGCATAATTAGACCCTGTCTCAAAACACCAAAGGCTGGGGATATAGCTCAATCACTGTAGAGCATTTGTTTATAGGCCCAAGGCCCTGAGTTTAATACTCAGCACTGTAAAAAGGAAAAGGAAAGAAATGTGGAATTGAACAGATATTTTTGCAATTACTTATCACTGTAATATACCTGTGGTTACTTTTTCCCCAAATTTTCAAACTACCATCTTTAAATCACAGTTTTCTTTCAAATCCACGATTTCCTGGCATTACCTGTTCCCAACTTCTGCCTCCATTGCTGATCTCTCTTTGCACCATGCAGAAGGCTGGAGCCTGCATCAGGACTTTTACTGGTTCTCAGCAGTGATGTTGCTTAGCCCCGCCCATTCCTTGCTGCCTTCAATCCCATTTGGATTTGTGAGTTCATTCATAAATTAACACAAACTTAAAGAGAGAGAACTGAGACCCAAGTATGTTGAAGATCT